TACTTTGTCAAACCAATACTAATTTTATTTTGAGATAGGGTCTTGCTGTCACCCAGGTCGGAGTGCAGTGGTGCAATCACAGCTCACTGCACCCTCAACCTCTGGAGCTCAAGCTATCTGCCCACATAAGCCTCCCAATTAGCTGGGACTACAGGCATGTACCACGACACCTGGCTAATTTTTTCTGTTTTTCAGAGAGACAGGGTCTTACTATGTTGCCCAGGCTGGTCTGGAGCTCCTGGTTTCAGTGATCCTGCTGCCTTGGCCTTCCAAAGTGCTGGGATTAAAGGCTTGAGCCACATTGCCTGGCCTTCAATGCCAATTTTTAATGCATCCATGGAAAAAGATAAAATAATATATAATGAAGATATCATGAAGCTAAATTTATGTAATTCTAAGGACTATCCTTTTTTTCTAAAATTTCCATCCTTTCTCTTTCCTCCTTCCTTCTTTCTCCCTGCCTTGAAATGCCCTTTCCTTTTATGAAATAAAGCAGCAGGAAATGGCAGTTTTGTTGTAACAACAAAATACTTCTCTCTTCACAAAACTGGCAAACTCATAATTAGCAATTCAGTAGCCTCTCAATTTTTGTGGAATCTTTAGTAGTCCATAAAACTCAGAAGTCTGAAAATCATTAATACATACCATTATACTACATGTTATATTTCATTGCTTTCTAAAAACTATTAGATACACAATGAATAGAAAGTTGAAAAATAAGAGTTTTATTAAGATAACAAGTAAAGTTGAAGTCTTCAAAAGAGCATGTGGATTGAGAAATAATTATAGTTAGAAAGCTAGTTGAGTAAAGTTACACTACTTACAATGTATTTGCAGTACTTAAAACTCTCACCTTGTTTATGATAATTATCTGACTCAAGGCTCCACTTAGCCCTTTCAGTGTAGAGTTATTTTAAAGAGCAGTGTGTATTGTCATACTAACTGTATTTGGAAGTGAAAGGGTTCCTAGGAGACTCTCAGGTAGACGGAAAAATGTAACTTGAATTAGAAACTTTGCAGGATTCTTGAGGTGAAAAGACCAAAACTTGGCTGGATTTCATGACTGTGCTTCAGGTGCTATTTAAATTGTTGCTGACATATTAAAAAATGGTAGTGTAATAATGAGGAAAATATGGCAGAGTCCCATCCACCTGACTCGCCCACATTCTTTGCCTTGAAACCATTCCATTCCCTTTCCTCCTTCACTTCTACCATGGGGTACTATCATATATAGGAGCCAGGCAAAGAAAGAAAAATACATAAATGTGCCCAGTCAAAGTAAAATAATAGGTTAAGAAAAAGAGCCTAGAAATCATAAAGGAGGAAAGTGTCTGACCAAAAATAATGAAATATCTGCAAAATAAAGACAAAATAGCAATAAACTAAATAACAAAAAAGAAATATATTTTTCTATTATTTTATATTTCAAGAGAAGAGATATTTAAATCTAACTGTTCTAATCTTGTTTACCCATACATTGGTTTAAATGTTCTGAGAGAGCTCTGGATCATTTACCTTGGAATTTATTTTACACCCTCAGAGATTGTCACATAGTTCTTCAATTTCTCTATGGTGTTTATAATTTTCATAAATCTTATTTAGTTATTATACCACATACTGTAATCTCTGCAGAGTTATTTACTTTTTCATGAAAGTATTTTCTTTAGTCTGCATCTCCTCAATGTTATTTTCTCAAAAGAGCTTTCTAATAAAAAAATTTGTGCTCTGGAGGATTTTAAGATAAGGTCAGTAAATGCAGTGAGGATATTAGGGTTAGAAGTAAAGGCTTTCTTTCAAAATTGTTCGGTCAATGAAACCTTTTGATACTATTTAGGTAAATTTGGAAGGCTACTTTTATAGCTTAATATGTCCTAGGACATGAAACACAATTGCGGATTCTTCAAACACAGCTGTGAGCTCTTTATTACTTCTTGGTTAGTCCCCCCATCAGAAACTATTCATATATATGCTCTAAGGTTCTTTACAATTATAGTTATGTTACTGAGTTAGAATTACCTTTCCACAAATCAAGATATCAAAACTATAAAATATTTTAGGTTGTAGTACATCCATATTTGAGTTGCCAATGAAACCAGAATGAGCCAACTTCATTTTCTTAAATCTTCAATTTCTTTTCATACACAAGTCTTTGTCCAGCACTTTTTATTATTTAGTCTTCATTTTGAAATACTATATTTCAAAATCTACAGTAACTTTTCTAAAATCACAGATATAATAGCTTATTTTACTAAAGGCAAAATGTATTTTGAATTTTCTTTCTTTTACGTACTATTCTGTTTTTCAGTAGTCCCTGTTTAATATTATCTGTGAATTTAATTAAGATTGTTTACTTCCCTTTGTTAACTGATGTTCCATAAGACCATACCTAATACCAATTCCTGCAGAATTCCTGTAATGCTTTATTTCAAATAGATATTTCATAGTTTTTTTAAACTTGTTCTTTAGTTTTTAACTCATGAAACTTCAAGAACTATATTTATGTCAGAAAATTCAGAGGTTTAGAAGAAAATAAAAAGGATACACAAAATTCCTTCCTAGCAACTTAGGGAGGAATAAAGGAAGTAGAAACATTAAGTCCTTTTGGAAAAAAATGAAAAGAAATTAAAGATAAACAACTTGAGATTCAGAAAGTACGCAAGCAATAGTAAAGATTAGAGCCTACGTCTATCCAATAATAGATATTAAATATTTGAATATACCTCATAAAAATATGTGGCAATTTCTTTGGATGAAAAGAACAGTGCTAACTCTAAAGCTAAACATAAAGGTTGATTTACAAATAGACATAGTAAGTCTTTCCTACTGGTTAAGAAATTGATTTCCATGGAAGGGAGCTGATCAAATTTGGTATTTGTTAAAAGGATGAAGATCTGTTCAAAGTAGCATACTGAGGTTGCCTAGCACAGGGTTAGGCAGTAAAATAGAACACAGTTTGTATCTGCAGTACAGTTTTGTAGGTCCTCCATACACCTAAAAGTCTAGAAAACTATCTAACTGAGTGTTTGATAGATTTTAGACTGCATTAAATATTGACCTTTAAAAGTGCTAAAGAATTGTCAAAAAAGGAGGAGGTAATCCTGCAGTAAGAGTAGTGAGCCTCACCTGGACTCCCAGGCAACATACAGATCATGTGTGAACGTGTAGAGATCAGTGATAACCAAGAGCTGGTGATAACCTGGCAGTCCAATGTCTTGCATTCAAGGACTGACAGCGATGATTGGGGCAGGAATGCTGGAGGATTGGGATGTTAACACACTGCAGGTTTTCAAGCACAGGCTATGTGAAGATTTGTTGGGAATGTTGCACTTGGGGTTTACACAGCAGGCAGTAAGTAGAGTAGGAATTTTGATAGTCTTGGCTAACTGAGGGTCTAAATTTAAAAGAAAAGAAAACTGTTCTCAGGGAAGCCACCGTAAGTAGTACTTCATTATTAAGTATTACGGGACTATTTCATTCTCATTTCTAGAACAGCACAGGGCTTAGCAACTCAAAACCCACATATCTTACCCACCTACCTAATGAATGACATCTATTATTTCTGTTTTTTAGGTATTGTATAACTCCTTCTTGATTAGTATACTATACATTAATATAGTGGTTCTCAAACTTTAGTGTGCAAAAGATCACTTGGAGGGCTTGTTAAAATGGAATTGCTGCAGTTTATGATTTAGCGGGTCTGAGGTGGCATTTCTGAATTCCTAGGATGTTGCTGACCTCAGTTCACTCTGAGAACTCTATTTCCTGTGAGTGGTCCATCTTCCTCCTGCCAGGTGGTACACTGCCTAAGAGATAAGCACAATGGTGGCCCCAGGACTATTCCTTAATCAAGGTAGATTGTTGTCATTGACTAGGTAAATAGGCAAGCTTACAAAGAAGATCCATTGCCTGCATCTTGTCACCTCTTTTAGTGGTCTTTTCTCTTTTTCCTGGGTTTCTATCAAAGCCACTTGCCATCCCTAGTGTTGGTTTAATCATCCTTAGCAGAGAAAACATTGATCTCGAAGATCAATATTAAGTGGTAGTCAATGTGGTTGGGATCACTCGTGGGAGAATTAAAAATAACAATACGGTTAATTTCAAACCATGGGAAGCTCCCTCTATATGAAGCATATAATAGTTTGTATATATTTTAGTATAAAAGACAAAACCCTTCTCCGTAATTGTATTAAATATGAGTTTTCAATTTATTGATACTTTTTGAAACGATATATAATCATAACTGGGACATTTTTGACATTTGACTTGTTGAAGGTGCTTGCACTGTGGATTACGACGAGGACAAAGGTGCATTGATGAGTGTTTTCTGTGGCACCCCCACCCCCCACCCCGGTTCATTAGTATCCAACATACTTGAAACGGCAAAGGTTAAGTATATGAGACAGTTGGTAAAGAAAAGCGTGCGCCTATACATAGAAATCTGACTTCATAACCACCATTTCTACCAAAATTCTCCATCCTTCTCATATGGTGCCTTTTATTTCGTTTTGAGTTTCAGAATCTATTTTATTTGTGCGTGTGTGATAGTCACGGTGATTTATAGCATGAAACTAAAAAGAAAACATAAATAGTACTGCCCTGATCTTCAAAGCTACCTGACCCTTGCCTGGTTTCTGCGCTGCTGGCTAAGGCTGTTTCTTCCTCCGGTAGTTTCTGGGCATTTTCCTTTCCCTTTCCCCCGTTTCCTCTCCACCACCTCCCGGTCCCCTTCTCGTTTCTCAGGCTTTAACAGTGCTGAGCGCCCGCGAGCTCAGGTACCCCTTCCCTCTTCTCCTGCTCATCAAACAAAGCCCCGGGAGACAGGCGCGCGTCGCCAGCCACGCCGACAGATGATGCAGCCGAGCCGACACACGCTTCGAACCGGAGCAGGACATCATGCGCGACCACGCACCGCGCGTCCCCGCCGCTTCCTTCCCTCTGGACTCTTCCTTTTCCTCCAGGTCCGGCCCCCCGCCACCGCTCCGGGAACGCGCCTGCGCACAAGCTGCCCTTCTCCCTCCTCCGCCCTTCCTTCCCTCCGTCCCTCCTCCCCTGCCCCGCCTTCCTTTCTCTCTCTCCGGTTTCACTCACTGAGAGCTCCAGGTAGTGAGCAGTTCAGTAGATTTCCTCATTACCCAGCCCCTCTTTCTCTTGTCCCTCCCCACCATCTGCCTGGTGGAGGATGAAGGGGCTGCAGTGGTCCCAGCGTATACAGCGGCACCGGCGGTGGCTGCGGTGTGGGTGGCCGGAACTGGGGTGGTGAAGAAGCGGTGGTGGTGTCTAAAGGAGCGATAGCCGCCTCAGCCTCTTTCCCTGTGCTTCCTATCTTCTTTAGTGCAGTCAGGAAGTTTTCGCTTCTGTACGTGTGTGTGTGCGTGAGTGTGGGTGTGTGCAGTGAGGTTTGGGTGGCGTTTGTGCAGGCGTTGGGTTTTTTGCCCACTTCGCTTCCCGTAACCCAGGCAGCTCCGGAGCCTGGGCTGTGGCCCTGGGAGGGGGCGCGGCGGCCGGCTCTCTCCTTTTGTTGTTGTTTCCTCCGCCTGGGGAGCTGAAGGGGAGACGCGCCTGGGTGGGGCGGCTCGGAACCCGGGCCTGGTGGCCCCCGGGGCTCCCGGGCGGGCAGTGTAGGGCAGAGTAGAGCGGGCTTCAACATGATGGCGGCCGAGGCCGGCAGTGAGGAAGGCGGCCCGGTAACTGCCGGAGCAGGGGGAGGCGGCGCGGCTGCGGGCTCCAGTGCCTATCCCGCAGTGTGTCGGGTGAGGATACCCGCGGCCCTGCCAGTGGCAGCCGCCCCCTATCCTGGGCTGGTGGAGACCGGAGTGGCTGGGACTCTGGGTGGCGGAGCCGCTTTGGGGTCAGGGTTCCTAGGAACCGGGTCTGTGGCAGGGGCATTGGGGGGAGCCGGACTGACAGGCGGAGGTACTGCTGCTGGCGTGGCTGGTGCTGCTGCTGGCGTGGCCGGTGCTGCTGCTGCTGCTGCTGCTGCTGCTGCTGGACCTAGTGGAGACATGTCTCTCACCAAGCTGCTCACTTCGTTGCCTGCTGAGACTCTCGGACCAGGAGGTGTATTTCCCCCTCTGCCTCCTCCCCCTCACCTGCCCCCTTTGGGGGCGGGTCTGGGGACAGTGGACGAAGGTGACTCTCTGGATGGACCAGAATACGAGGAGGAAGAGGTGGCCATACCGTTGACCGCTCCTCCAACTAACCAGTAAGTTGAGACTGCTCTTCAGTAAGTTGAGACTGCTCTTCAGTAAGTTAAGACTGCTCTTCAGTTAAGTTAAGACTGCTCTTCAGAATGTGTGAAGCTGTCTCCAGGAAAGAGAGAATGAAGGGGTAAATCATCCTTTTTTTTTTAATCTTTTCAGCTGTGATTTGTTAGGAAAAGTTTTTGAAGTTTCAGATTTCTTGAAGTAGGAATTTAATTTGATCACTCATCCTCCTTACAGGCATACTACCTGGTGTCTTCCTACATTTATTGTTCCTCTGGGAAGATGTAAAGTCTTTAAGCTGGAAAGCATGAGAAAATGTGTATCCAGTGAGAACCAGATATGGTTCTGTCCCTTCCAAGTTGAGGTGATGTCCCAGGATTCAGTCAAGCTGCAGCTACCAAGGCAGTCATAGTGTATAACCTGTGTGTGTTCCTTGATAAAGCTAGATGATGAGTGGGAAGCTTTGAATACCAATATTTAAACAAGTACTATATTAATAATTTGAGAAATATATTGGTTAGAATGTTTTTATTTCAGTGCACATCTCAGCTTCAGATTATAGAAAACAGTGATGCAGAAAAGTCTTAGAGTCATTTAATGAGAACTTGGGTCAGAGAGAAAGGAAAGCAGTAGTGTGAATTATAGGTGTGATTAAGAGCCTATACTCCAACAATGTCTGTATCTTCTTCCATAGCTTCCCACTTATTAATGCACTGCTTTTATAGTTGAGACATTAGAAGTACAACAGTGAGGTAAAACAAAATTAATAAATCTTCCCTTAAGCATTTTTGTTGGTGGCCAGAATAGTATTCTATTTGAAAATTAAGTTCTACAGTCTGCAGAATATACAGGACAGTGACTGTTTTTCATGTTAGTTAATACCTCCTCCTCACTTGTTCTCTTAATTGAACTTAGGTGTTTATTTGTAAAGGTGAACCTTGATGAGAATGTTGAGATGGGAAGTGGTATCAGGCAAAACTTGTTTTATAGATTTCGAATGTAACTCTTAATTGACCCTTAGAATTTTAACAACCTTGGTGCATATCAGGACAAAAGATTTGGTTCATATGTTGACAGTCACGCTGGACAATTCAGAGGTTTTGTTTCTTTTTCTTTTCTCTCCTCTGAGACGGAGTCTTGCTCTGTTGCCCAGGCTGGAGTGCGTGGTGCCATCACGGCTCACTGCAACCTCTGCATCCCAGGTTCAAGCGATTCTCCTGCCTCAGCCTCCCGAGTGGCTGGGATTACAGGAACGTGCCCCATGCCTGGAGAATTTTTGTATTTTTAGTAGAGACGAGGTTTTGTCATGTTGGCCATACTGGTCTTGAACACCTGACCTCAAGTGATAAGTTGGAATACCAAGACATAAGTTGGTATTCCAACTTATGTCTGTAATGCAGAGTCTTTGGGAGTGTTCTGAGAGGGTTAAAAATGCCATCTACAGCACTGCTTTTGAAAAAAGTTCAGTTTTTATTAAATGCTCACTGCATGCTCAGTACCGTGGTTATGAAGAACAGAATGTAACTTTTCATACTGAAAGAATCTAGTCTTATGACAGTTTATAACTAAATTAGATATATTTAGGATATTGTAGTTGAAAAAAACTTGTGTTAATAGTTTTTTTTTTTTTTAAGACAGAGTTTTGCTCTTTCATCCAGGCTGGAGTGAAGTGTCAGTGATCTTGGCTCACTGCAACCTCTGCCCCCCAGGTTCAAGTGATTCTCCTGCCTCAGCCTCCTGAGTAGCTAGGATTACAGGTTCCCTCCACCACGCCTGGCTAATTTTTGTATTTTTAGTAGAGTTGGGGTTTTATTGTATTGGCCAGGCTGGTCTCGAACTCTGACTTCAGGTGATCCACCTGTTTCGGCCTCCCAAAGTGCTGGGATTTACAGGCATGAGCCACTGCACCCAGCCCAAAACACTATTTTATTTAGAGTCGTTTTAGGTTCACAGCAAAATTGAGGGGAAGATACGGGGTGTTCCCATTAAATTTTTAATAATAAACACGATTGGGCCGGTCTGGTGGCTCATGACTATTTCCAGTGCTTTGGGAGGTCTGAGGTCAGAGTTTGAGAACAGTCTGGCCAACATGGTGAAACCCCATCTCTACTAAAACACCAAAAAACCCCCAAAAGTTTGCCGGGTGTGGTGGTGGGCACCAGTAATCCTAGCTACTCGAAAGGCTGAGGCAGGAGACTCGCTAAAATCAGGGAGGCGGAGGTAGTGAGCCGAGATCACACCATTGTACTCCAGCCTGGGCAACAAGAGGGAAACTCTGTCAAGAAAAAAAACAAAAAACATGATTGAGTACATATGAAAAATTGTGAGAAATTGATTGTGTGGGATTTTCATCATGATTACATGTATTTGGAAAGAAAAAGTTATATTCGTATGACTGTGTATATGAGACTTGTTTATGTTCTAAAAAATAACCTCCGTTTCTTTTTGTTTATTTATTTTTTGAGATAGAGTGTTGCCTAGGCTGGAGTGCAGTGGCGCCATCTCGGATCACTGCAACCTCTGCCTCCCGGGCTCAAGTGATTCTCCTGCCTCAGCTTCCTGAGTAGCTGGGATTACAGGCATCCAACAACACACCAGGCTGATTTTTGTATTTTTTAGTAGAGTCAGGGTTTCACTGTGTTGATCAGGCTAGTCTCGAACACCTGATCATGTGAACCGCCCACCCTGGCCTGCAAGTACTGGGATTGCAGGCAGGAGCCACCATGCCTGGCCAAAATACCCTCCATTTCTAATATCTTTTTAAAATTTGCCACTGAGAAGTACAAATTTCCTTCTTATTTTATCTTAGATATCAACCCAGAGTCACTGGAGGCAATACAGTGTAGTGGTTAAGTGTGCGGATTCTGAAGTTAGAAAAAATTTGGATTGGAATCCTGACTCTGCCACTTACTAGCTGTGTGATCTTGGAAAGGTCAGTTTCCCCATCTGTAAAATGGGGATAAGAATGGTACCTTCCTCATGTGGTTGTTTTTTAAAGATTTAATGAATACCCTGCTGTATTCAGCACAGTACTTGGGGAATAGTAGGTGTTCGATAAATACACAGTCCCCGTCCCCGTAGTCATAATATTTTACTATCACTAAATTATCTACTAATTCTTTCAGTTATAGAGTCTCCCTTATTAATAACTGTTTTAGAGAAAGTTTTGAACTCCAAATCAAGCCGACCATGATTAATTATATTAATAATTTTATTTTAACTTCATAAGCGTTTCCAGCAGTAGGTTAAGCACTTTTAAGGATGAAATTCAGGTGTTATCCATAAATTCATATTCCTGAATGTAGACATTCATATATTTTTTCCTTTTTGTTTTTTGAGACAGTATCTTGCTCTGTCAACCAGGTTGGGGTGCAGTGGCATGATCTCAGCCCACTGCAACCTCCACCTCCTGGGTTCAGGCAATTCTCATGCCTCAGCCTCCGAAGTAGCTGAGACTATAGGCGCATGCCACCATGACCAGCTGATTTTTATATTTTTAGTAGAGACGGGGGTTTCACCATGTTGGCCAGATGGTCTCCATCTCTTGACCTTGTGATCTGCCCACCTCGGCCTCCCAAAGTGCTGGGATTACAGGTGTGAGCCACCAAGCCTGACCCAGACATCCATATTTTTAAATGGAAGGAAAGCCTTAAAGACATTGTCAAGTAATATTTATGTTTTGTAAAAATATTGAAGAAATGTGGACTAAATTAATACTGGCTATGAGTAATTGGTCACCTTAGTTATGGATAGCATGGTATTAAGGAGGTTTAGGTGACAGGATTGGGTCCACAAGTAGTTTGTTACTTGAGTGTTCCCTGATCAGGGAATTAGTTCAACCTTCTTTCTAGCTAGTTTTATGCTGTTGATCACAAAAGAGTCAAATGACAATATATAGACAGACCAGTGTAAATAAATTAACAGTATTTTGTACCTTGTTTTTCTGTGTACACGGTGAATCAGTCTCATGTTTATTACTGAGCATTTTCATTAGTTTGGTTGAGGCTAGAAATGTTTGTGTAATTTGTACTATTATATTTATTTGAATTTTTTTTGAAAGTTTGGAGAAAAAAGTTTTTAAAAGAAAAAAATTCTCTGTCTACATTTTTTCTACCATAAAAGTTTCTATACCTAAAACTATTAACGAATTTCTTTTTCTAGAGAGAGAAAAGGTTAAATTAAGGCAGTTTGTCACTAGTACTCTGTAAGTTTCTGGAGTTGCTTTTCATGGTTTTCATTTTTTCTTCTGTGGGGTGATGTAAAGAGTATTGTGGGGTGTTAGTAAAGGAGTATTGTTTGTGTAGTACACCATCAAGAGATTTTTAACTATGAGTCTGCAGTAGTAGGTGGCCATTGGTGAGAATCCAATCCACAGATGTATATTGCTTGCTCTATGAGTATTTGGAATATTTAGTAATTGTCACCGTTTAAGAATAGAGATTTCTTTTTCTTTCTTTTTTTTTTTTTTTGAGACATAGTCTCACACTGTCTGTCGCCAGGCTAGAGTGGAGTGGCACAATCTCTGTTCACTGCAACCTTTGCCTCCCGGGTTCAAACAATTCTCCTGCCTCAGCCTCTGGAGTAGCTGGGATTACAGGTGTGCACCAGGACACCCAGCTAATTTTTTTTATTTTTAGTAGAAATGGGATTTCACAATGTTGCCAGGCTGGTCTTGAACTCCTGACCTTGCGATCTGCCTCTTTCGGCCTCCCAAAGTGCTGGGATTGCAGTCCACCACACCTGGCCCTCTGTTTTTTTTTTTTTTGGGAGACAGAGTCTTGCTCTGTTGCCTGGGCTGAAGTGCAGTGGTGTGCTCTTGGCTCACTGCAACCTCTGCCTCCTGAGTTCAAGCTATTTTCCTGCCTCAGCCTCCTGAGTAGCTGGGACTACAAGCACACACCACAACGCCCTACTAATTTTTGTATTTTTAGTAGAGATGGGGTTTCACTCTGTTGGCCAGGCTGGTCTCGAACTCCTAACCTCAGGTGATTCACCTGCCTTGGCCTCCCAAAGTGCTGGGATTACAGGTGTGAGCCACGGTGTGGCCAATAGGAAGATTTCATATTGAAGTCTCAAATTCTAGCATCTCTAAAAAACCCCGAAGACTTTGCTGTACCTGGTGAC